AAAAAAAAAAAACAGATATGAACTAGATTTAAATCACAATTATTTTTATACAATAAAATTCTCATATAAGATTTTTAATAAAATAAAAAAGAAATTTCTATAAATAATAAGAAATTTTTTATCAACAAAAAACAATTAAAAGCATAATAAATATATATAAGCTATAATATTAAAGATACTTATTAATATTAAAGTAAAATGTTATGATAATTACTAGTATTTCATGATATAGAAAAAATGATTATATTCAAAAATCTTGAAATACAGAAAATTAGAAATGAAATTTATAGCATGTTACAAATTCTAAATTAAAATGGCATTCAAATATCGAAATATACAGAAAATAAAAATCTTTATAGACTGAAAAAGAAAAATCCATAAAATTTCTAACTAACAATAACAATTAATTCTTATTAATCCTTCGTAAGAATGCTAATTAACTACATAATTTAATAACTATATAACTGTTGAATAAGTTTGAAAAAAAAATAGATTGAAATTAATATTTTCTTTAAAAAAAATTGCTTTCTTTAGCAATTTATTCTTATATTATTTTATTCTTTCTTAAAATTCTTTATTTTAGTTTGTATCTATATTAATAAATAAAATGACATGCAATTTTCCATTAATCTTGATAAAAAATTATGTTAAAAATATATAATTATAAATAATTCTAGAGAATATGAAGATTATCTTTAATCATATTAATCATAAATGAGATATGAAGGAGGTTATGACGATTGACAAACAGATAAACTTACTCATTTTATAACTTGCAATAGTATTGAATTCAGTAAAAACATAAGAAAAAATAAATAAATTTATAGTTAATAAAAAAAGTGACAATTTTTATTATAATAAATAAAAATATTATTCAAATCATAAACAAAACTAAGAAAAATATGAAAGGTAAGTCAATTAATATCTATATGTACATGTAGAATCTTTTCTTATGCATATAAATTATAAAGAAATAATTTTTTCAATAATGGTAGAAAAATATTATTTTTATTAAAGAGAGTTATTTTAGTGATAGTTTTAGATATTGATTTATTTTTTTATATTTCCATATTAATTTATAAAATTTTGTTGTTATAATTCATA